TAATCTGTTGTATCTGTAACAATTAACTAGACTGTCATTGTTTTTAATCTGTAGTATCTTTAACTAATTAACAGACTTGTCATATGTTTTTAAATCTGATGTATCTTTAACAATTAACAGACTTGTCATATTGTTTTTAAATCTGATGTATCTTTAACAACTAACAGACTTGTCATATTGTTTTTAATTTGATGTATCTTTAACAACTAACAGACTTGTCATATTGTTTTTTAATCTGTTGTATCTTTAACAACTAACAGACTTGTCATTGTTTTTTAATCTGACATATCTTTAACAACTAACAGACTTGTCATATTGTTTTTAATCTGTTGTATCTTTAACAACTAACAGACTTGTCTTTTTTTTTTAAACTGATGTATCTTTAACATTAACAAATTTCTCATTGTGTTTCCTTTATTTGTGAGCACTTTGGTTAACTTGTTCGTATTGTGTAATTTGTATCTATCATTTGGCAGTTGTGAAGATTCTCATAGTTTTTTTTAATAATAACAATATTCAGATGTTTGTAGATGTAGCATTTGAGTTTTTTAATTAAGAACATTTCTGCTGTCTCTCAACCTTCCACACATCTTTGATATTTGATATTATTTACATTAGGCCTTATTGGCATAGATAACTGTTTGAATCAGCAATAATAATTCCAAAAAATATATGTAAGTTATTATAAATCAGATTTAAAACTTTAAATTAAACCTTCTGATCAACAATTAAAAAAATTGTCTTGATTATAATTTGGGTATGGTAAAAAAGTTATTTTTATTGTGTGCCAGAGTTTGTAAACACAGTGATTGTAAGCACAATGAAACAGCATTCAGTGTTTTGTTTTAATTAAAACAGAGATAAAATTTACATCACTATAAAATAACTGTATAGGAAAGTTTTAAAAGAAAGCATAAACATCACTAATTAAAGTTTACAAGAAAATCGGTTGTTTTTAAATTTGTTGATAAAATATCACAAAGAGATCTTTTCAAAATTTCAAAGATGAAAATTCATATAAATATTGCATATAAAACGTTTTGAAAAATTCATCTCAAGTTTCAAACTTTTCATTCAATAGTTTTTCATAAATGCAATAAAATAAACCAAGCAACAAGTATTTCAAATTAATGCACTTGGGCCTCATAGAATTAAGGACAGTGACATTATTACTGTATCAATTATTAGGTTGGTTGTTGACAAATGTGGTGGGTGAAACTTATTTATAGGAAATTGGGCCTCATAGAATCAAGGACAATGACATTATTGCTGTATCAATTATTAGGTTGGTTGTTGACAAATGTGGTGGGTGAAAATTATTTATAGGAAATTGTGCTTCTGTGTTGTTATAGTCATATGGTTGTGTATTATTTTCTCCACAACATTATAGAGTATCTGAGCACTTACTGTCATTATTAAAGCAGTTGTATTATATGTTTGTAGTGAACATGAATTTGTGTGTACGATGATTTTTATGTGATGTTGAAAATGATTTGAATTGATTCAGCTAATAGGTAAAATAAATGAGGTGAAACGTTCTGCTATGCTAAAGATACAAGTCATTTAATTTAGCGTGATATTTTCATCATAGTCATTCATTCCTAATTATATATTTTTATTTTATTAACAGTGGTCTTACACTATTAAAAAAAATGTGACAATATTCTAATTTTTAAGTTATTTATACTGTTAAAAATTCTTTGATGCTCAGAATATTTGATTAGATAAAACTTGACTCGTGACACAAATAGTAGTACATTTGGCTTGATGTCACTGGTAACATAAAGGTTTATATTATATGGTATGCTTTATAAACAGTATGGATAAATATTCCATGGCAGTGATTTGTTGGAATAAGAATTACCGTAGTTCAATTCACGAATATGTGAAGTTCATGTGGTAAGTAAGTATGAAGGCTATTAATGCTAAAATCCAGGTTTCAAAACCTGTGTGGGCACAGCACAGATAATTAAGTTTTGTGCTTAACTGCAAACAAAATGTTAAGATTATACATATATGTTGATTGGTAAATCAGCTGTTCCTTTGTTTTTCTTTCTTTTTAGTGTTCTATATATAGTTAATTATTATGTTTTGTATATGAATAATGCTAATGTGTCCATCTGTTTGCATGTATTTTTTTTAGTTTGTTTTTTCCTATTTCAGC